ATGCAAACATACCAGGCCGCTAAATTAACCTTTTTCTCTACTATCCCTGAACTGTTCCGAAGTGCCATTTCAGCTTGTCCCAAAGTGAATATATACTGTACTGGCTATTGCCACCCGGACCCCTATGACCCTGAAAATGGATGGATGGGTGGGTGGATGGATGCATGGTTAACAGAACTGTTATGTCATCTATCAGGTTCATTCATCGTAATGTGGAAAACTATGAAAATAGTCTGAATGTAAGTAATGAAGGCTCAGAGTGGCATTAAAAAGGTCTTAAAAATCATTACATTCAATGTTTTGATACGGACATAAACCCAGTCATAAGTGGTCTGCAGTGTGTACATCGTCCAAATCACCTCCTCTATGCAATGAAAACATCTGGGTGCTGTGAATTTAATGAGTTCTGTGGATTCCGTGTCTGATGGCCCCTATTACTGATCTTCTCCTGTCTGTCCAGATGCTGGGGTCCCCGTAGATGTGTGACTGTTCTCTGCCACTCCCGCTAATCTCTCTGTAATGAAGTCGCCTGGCTCTCTGTGGCATTTCTTCTGTCGTTTACATTTCTCTCAACATTCCTCAAGAGATTCCCACCTTGGGGTTTCCCAGCGGGGATCGTCTGCCTGGCTGTATAAGAGACAGAGGGACCACAGGCGCTGCTGTCAGCCTGAAACCCACAGTAGCGCAGGGTAGCAGAATGATCTTACAGTGAAATCGCCATGTGTGTCTAGGATGCAATAGAAGACGCAGGTGTGCTGAGTGTGATCACGCACCTGCTGGCTGTGTAACAATGTTGGTAGGGGGGGGGGCGTCCAACCAGGATCAAACACTTACTGCTGGTTGGATGGACGGCACATGACGATTTTCAAGGAGACAGTGTGGCATCCCCCAGAAACCAGAGGGTTGTGGGCTGCAGGATAACGGTTTTAAAGGCACCGCAGAGGCACCCAGCCCCTTGCTTAGAAGACTGAGGCGGGGTAACTGGGGCTGACTGTCTGTCTTGACTGAGTCATCATGGAAGGATGTTTCTGACCTATTTTAGGGCAATTCTTGTGTGTCCAGAAGTAACATTTGGCTCTGTAGCTCTGTGTATGCCCACTACCCAGAAGGCATTGCTACAATATTGAGTAATCATCCTAAAGCCGTTCTTGTAGTTATACTGCTTAAATATATCCTTAGACATTGCATGGTGTCATTCCCCTGCTGTGGTGACAGTGGTGGTCGTCTGACTGGCCCTTACCTCTCGCTCTGTATGTGTGTGTCTGTACATGGGTGTCTGCATACGTGTCTCTGTGTGTCCTGAAGTAATGTCATTTTCCAGACTTTGTCAGAAGACATGAGAAACCAAGGAATGAGGGCTGAGCCTAGTTTGAGGAACAGAGTGAATGCGTTATACTTACAGGAAGCAGCATGCCAGGCCTTGTATGTAAGAATGTGTGTGCGTGTGTGTGTGTGTGTGCGTGTGTGTGTTTGGAATGAAACCAGTTCCTCTGCTCCTAGTATGGAATACCCACATCATTAGCAGTTTGACAGGTTATATGAAGTGATCTGTCAGGGATCGTTAAGGATTAACGATTAATACAGAATTATTTTTGTAGCGTTTGTTGAGTGCTGCTTAAACGATGCATTCCGGTATTATGCTGCACTTAAGCATCACTGAGTAGCCCTGACATCTTAATGAAATCTCCCTAAAATAGAGCAGCTAATGGAGGCGTCTCTGTTTCACGTCCGTCCTCAAATCCCCCCAGCCTCAGGTTTCCTGTCCTTCCCCGGCCATTTAAAGAGACCCCCCCCCCCCTCGCTGCACGCCGATGTGCGACAGTGGATTCCCGGCCCCCGTCCTGGTGAGCGCGGAGTCCTGTGCTGCCCCCGGGCTGCGAATCTAGCGCAGTGAGATGCTGTGGCCTCTGTGGACACCATATCCAGGCCATGTTAGAGGAAGAGTCTGTGATGGGAGAGCAGCTTCTGGGACCTCGTTCTGTTCTGACAACAAACCGCGCCTTTGTCCTGAGAGTGGTGCAGGGAGTGGCGGAGGCAGGCCCGTGTTTCCGCACGGTATTTATCCAGAGCCTCCACTCGCTGGTTTTCCACTTCCAATGCTGGTTTTCCACTTCGTAAAGGGGGACTTCACATTCATGGATGAATAGGGGGATATGTTTGTAAGAATTCCATTTTTGGCTCCAAATGTGAATTTGCATCAATTACATGTACTTAGTTATGTGCTTCTTACTCAGGGTAGGAACCTAAATCTAGTCCCCAAGGCGCATTTTGGTTTTCTGTTATGATCATGGGGTTGTGAAAGTCTTCCTGCTTGTGTAAGAGAGGGATCAAACTGGCACGAAATTATATTGGTATAATTAAGTCTTCAGCTTGCATCTTATTCTGCAGACATTACAGCATTTCAGAGACACATTTACGCTCTGTGTGCTCTTATCCCTGATCCGTATCCCTCCGTTTTCACACTCTTTCACTCCCTCCCTTCTCCTTCAGTCTTGGCCACCCTGGTGCGCAGATCTCTGACCACTGAGACAAAAATAACCTGGAATGATTCAACGCCAGTGTTTTCAGTGTCTAATTGGTGGCCGCTTCTGTGCCTGGTGGCCCAGTTGCTCAGCCCCGTGCTGTTAGATGGACCCCAGTTTATTGGTCAGGCATGCTGAAGGACGCCTGAGTTTCCTGTCACCACGAGTGATGTTAGCTGTTGGCTCTCCTGTGTGACGCATCTGTAGCCCCTTTTGCTAATCACTAGATCATGCTTGAGACATTCAGCAGATGGATGTTTCAGCCCAAATAGCGCTTTGCTGACGGCTAATGAAAGCAGCCATGCGGCAAGGCTTCCAGGGGGCACAATACCAGCAAAACCAGTAAAAGAGCAATAGACAGTCAACTTGGCCGCTGCCTTATTGGTTGCTTGTTGCCAGGGTGACGGGTACTGTAACACTGAGCCACACTGGTCGGGTCTTGGTGAGCTGCGAGTGACACATCAGCACCCAGTGGACCATGTGGCCGTAAACTCTGACGGGGCTTTAAAAGCTGTATAAGCTAATGAGGCTGAGAAGTGCTGTCACTCGCATGGGCCGGGAGAGTCACCTACCGTCACCCTCGTGAGCGCCTTACTGAATCAAGTCCTGCATGGTCCTGGGTGGCTTCACGTTGACTCTGGATGTTAAGTGAGCTCCAGCGCAGGTCCGCTGTGAGCGAGGATGCTGTCTCCACATCGTACCGTGAGAAGCGTGTCACATTTTCATGTTTTTCAGTACCGCATGGTCATTGTTTAAAAGCACATGTTCTCCTGCCAAAGTATCTCACGGTTGGCTGTGCCTGTGTGCTTGGCAAACAGAGCTCTCAACTTTTTTGGCCTGAGACTGTTTGAGGATAGGCCAGGCTCTCGTGTTATTCCCCTCTCTCTGTCGCAACTTCTTTCCAGCAGGTTCTCATTTGTGGCTGGCAGTTGGGTTCCCACAATGCACTGCACCAGTGCGGTAAATGCTCCCTGATTAAACCAATATGTCCTGCTGCCTGAAACGTGCTGCAAAAGAATCTGGGGAACAGATGCCTGTTGGGTGTGCCTGTTTGTCAGACAGAGAGTTGCCCGCAGGCAATGTCCTGGCCGATCATGGGCATTTTCCGACTAAGTGAGATGCCTGAACCCAGAGCCTTTGAAGGTGGGAAATGTCAGGCCAACATCTGTGCCTTCAGTGCAGAGATACGCGGGCGTGCTTCGGGTCGGGAGCCCATGGGGTTTTATTTTGGGGCTCTTAACCCTCTGCAGAGGGCCGTGTTGGTGGCAGGGCATGCGGGGGCGCTGGCAGGCCGCACCCCCTCCCCACAGCTGCTGCTGGAGGCAGCTGAGGGCCTCCAGGGTCCCGGCCCTTAATCTGTTGTTTATTGGGTTTGGAAAGCGAGCAATCAGCCGGTGATGGAGCGACCGGCTCGTATCGACCCCCCCGGCCCCCCCTTTCCCACTCATCTCCCCTTTATTAGAGTGCAGTGATCAGGTGTGCCTCTAAGGTAAGATATTTGTGGAGCTGTATGTTCTCTGGGGCACCACAGGTGTCACCTCCATGGGAAATGCAGCTGTCTGGAGCTCCTCCGTGCAGCTGTGCTCCCAAAGAACTTCTCAAACTTCATAAGCACAGAGGAGGCCGCGTGGCGGAAAGGCGCCCATCAGCTCTACGCAGCATCATTTGAACAGCTGTGTAGCTTGGCACCGGGCCCAGCTGGACACGGTTTGGGCCGCTTGTAGGAAAAGGTCATTTGCTCTCACAGAATGGGTTATGTTTTCATCTCGGGACGTTCTCCGCGGGTATCGGCAGTTCGGCCTCGGCCCGGAGCGCAGGTGGAGATGCCGTCCACATGGAAGCTTTCTGGGGTCCCGGTGACCATTTTCGGGAGGAGTTCTGGATGTCACCCCCGTCACGCTGGTCCGCTGTGCCAGAAGACAGCTCATCACGTGGGACCCACACACAGCTCATCACCTACAGCACCAACATGGGGGGCTACATGTTTGTTAAGTCCTTCTGGAGCTTTCCCCCAGCTGCCCATGCGGATCGGAGGACATCAGCAAGCCAGCTATGTCACATTTGGAATGTAATGCCCCCTGCAACCATGGGGGAGGTGCTATTTTGCTTTCGGGGTGCAAATGAATTTGGGATGTTTTGGGTTTTGGGATGAGGGTGTTATGAAAACCTGATGATCAGCCTCATGGTATGTGTGAGGGTGTCCTGGCACTCCTGCCAGCCGCGTGCCACACTGGGGGAGGCTTGTCACTTTACATCACACACTGTCTCCCTCAGTTAGCGTATGTGCTACTGCTCAGGCTGCTCCACTCAGATATTGCTGGCACCCCATGTGATTGGCTGGCTCATCACCCCGTGTGATTGGCTGGCTTGTCACTTCATGTGATTGGCTGGCTTCTCACCCTGTTTATCTGTCTTCTTGTGTAAATGAACTCAGTGTGCTGGCTTGGCCTCACTCTTCTCCATTTTCTTCCCCTGCAGGAATCTCCTTGACATGGATACATTCTCCAAATCAGACCCAAGTAAGATGCTTTACATTTTTGATTTGGCCGATTTGGATGTGTGGTTCGAACTGTGTGTGAAAGCTGCCCGCTAAAGAACTCCATCCCCCTCGTTCCACACCCCACCAGCCCTATGAGCTTCCATCCATTTCTTAGCGACGCTTGCTTCACACTCCCCCATCCCTTCTTGCTTTGGGCCAGAGGGCTTTGGCGTGAATGGGCCCCCTGGAGATTGGGCTAAAGGTGCTGAGCCAAACACAAATCCCACCTGGAGCAGGCTTCAGGATCAGTGAGGCCGCTCAGTCCTGCTGCTACATGGTCAATGACGTCCGTTTTAGTCTTCCTGCTAGGTGTTCAGTGAGGTCCGCTCAGTCCTGCTTCTAGCCGTTCAGTTAGGTCTGCTCGCTTCACCTACTTGGTGTTCAGTGAGGCCCGTTCAGTCTTGCTGATAGGTATACAGTGAGGCTACAGCCACGTGGTGTTCAGTGAGGACAGGCAGGTTCCACAACTGTGGCGAGGAATGGGAAGTTGGCTCAGCCGTCCTACATCCCTGGAGCCAGAGAGAAGGTGCCCAGCCTCCAGTATCTGTGTTAGGACTTTCAAGCCAGTGATGGACAGGGCATGTTCTGGAGCCAGGGGGACAGTTCAAACCCCTCTAATGCCCAGGATTAGCCTGCACTACCGGCAAATTAAACCAGCCTGAAAGAGACGCGTCAGCATGGACCAGGCCTAACGAATCCCACCTGTAACAGTGCTGCGATTGCAAAATGGCTCTCAGTGGGAGGCGTAATGCAAGGAGCAGGGGAGTACCAGCCATCTGCAAGTCCTAAGCATAAACACGGACCCCGGCAGCAGTAATGCACAGGCAGAGTAAGGGCGTGCTGAGGAGTCTGCAACTCGGTGGCTTGGCTGTGCTGTACCATGCGTGTGCGGGCAGGCAGGACACAGACAGGTCACATTCCCATGGAAACAGATAAGGGCAGATCTTCTGCCAAGAGCAGCTTCAATCTCGCTGCTTTGTGCTGTGATGATAATGAAAGTAGCTCAGAGTGTGGGAACACTTGGCAGCTCTTAATGTAACTTTAATTCCAGTTATCCAAGAACCTTAGATAAAACCGGCAGTTATGATTTTTATGAGTTCACTGATAGCTTAGATCAAATAACGTCTCTGGGCTTAACTTCCGCCTGTTTAGCCGCCGGCTTGAGTACCAAGAGCAGAAATGTTTTTTGAAACTGATGCATTTTCATTGAATGTATGTGAGATGCACCCTGCCTTGTGCTTCCCATTTTAAATGCTACCCCGCAGAGTCCCCTCCCTTTAACACTACCAGTAATTGTAAATTGACAGTAATTGGTGATATATCACTAGCCCCCCCCCCCCCGCATGTTATCACACACACACTGTTCTCCTCTTTTCTGCAGTTTGTGTGCTTTACACGCAAGGAGTCGGCAGCAAGGAATGGAGAGAAGTAAGTATGAGGTTTCCTGGTGGTGCCATGGTGTCTCTCCCAGCTTTTCCTGGCAGAACCACCCCCCCGTTCGCAGTATACTAATAGCCTGATTATCCGGCACCTTTTTCTCATTATTAAACATTGAAATGTCAGAAATAACTGCAGTGCCATGTTTCGCAGGCTGTGGGCATGTCCTTATGGTGCTTTAGAAGGGCAATCCCCCCAGGGGCTGCCCCGTTACTGGGATGCCTTCTAACCCTCACAACCCAACCTCCCCCCCCCACCCAGTTTGGCAGGACAGAAGTCATCGACAATACCCTGAACCCAGACTTTGTGCGCAAGTTCATCCTGGACTACTTCTTTGAAGAGAGGCAGAACCTGCGGTTCGACCTGTGAGTGAATGTGACCGCCGAGGTTTCCTACCAGGGGGGGGGGCTAGGTTGGACACGCCGCCTTGCGGAATGGAACCCCCTCATCACCATGGTGACAGGGGAAAGAGGCACAACGATCAGGTTGGCAGCACTGAGGATCACCTGTCACATGTGAGCATGACGCTCCGCTCTGGATGCTGTTTGCACTGTGCAGACAATAAGCTAATTTTCTGTGATAGATACATATAATTAAAGCCTCCGGGGCTCTCTCTGTATACGGGCACCTCAGCCATCCCGCCGACCCACGTGCTGTGTCGAGGGTTTATGTGCATGGATGGGTGGGGCACGTGTAGACGGTGACGCACCAGCCCAGGGCCTGGGTGTGGGCGGACTTCAGTCCATCTAACTATAAGTGCCCCCCCCCAGCCGTGCAGGAATACGGCCGCCATGCGTATCTGCTCGCACTGGAATGCTGGACAGCCATGCACACATACATGAAGCAGAAGCATTTAACACGCAGAATCATCCACTTGCAAAACATCTTAACGTGTCAGTCAAAAATCAAGGGAAAAAACATGGAAGGTGGACTGATGGATCACTTCTCCTCCCCTCACCTTATCTCTCCCTCGCTCTCTCTCTCTCTGTTACACAAATCACATGACACTCGAGACTAAATGTATGCTTGAGGACTGCATTTCATGAAACAGTCCAGCGACGGTCATGCTCAGAGCGACATTCCAGCCGCCGTGGTCACTGGTGTCCACTCATCTGCATCTGGGGAACGTTCTCAGGACCTTCAGCCCAGTACCATCAGCATCAGCCTTTCATTGCCACCGAAACCAAGCACAGTGACAGGGCAGCACCTTCAGACCTACGGCAGTTGTTACAGGGATAGTTCAGGTTAAATGCCCTGATCAAAGATCCCTGCTTGGCTTATTAACCGCTACGGCCCCTGCTGCACAGTTTTATTTCCCTTTCATCCCGCAGTGTTGAACTGTATGGACTCCTCTGTTGTCATCTCTCCTTTCTTTCTCTCATTTCTTTGTCTTTGTTTTTCGAATTATTGTGTACAAATGAGGAACGTATTATTCCCATGTGAAGAACTTTGGGGTGACTGTGTTGTAAAAGGCACTATATTGAATTGAGTGGAGAGAAGCGTAACCGCAGACTTTTATCTGAGAGGAAGTTCCTCCCCGGCCTTTACTCCCTGGCACATTATACTCTAACCGCTGCCTTTCCTTCTGCATTTCAGGTACGACGTTGACTCAAAGAGCTCCAATCTGTCAAAGCATGTGAGTATCCGAGTGTCCGGCCCGAGCCACAACCCCCCCCAGCCCACTGTCACCCTGACACCAGACAGAGCCTCTCATCCTCAGAGACAACTCAAACTCAGTGGGATTCTCTGGTGTGCCGGCCTGTGTTTGGGATGCTGGACGCCCACTAATTTCCTTGTGAGGCAACACAGGCCCTGCCTGCCTGGAAGCATCCTAATTAACGCTATAAATAATGGAAGAAGAGGCACAAGTGCCATTAAAAGAACACAGTGTTGCTGGCAATGAAAACGCGGAATGACTGACAACAGCGTTATGCCGGTCCGTCTGCTTGAATAACACATGGCTCCCGGTAATTACTGATTAGTGGCTGAAAGACAGCTGCATGCTCACGGTACCTAACCCTAACTCTAACAGCTAGTTAGCATTAAGGGGGGGGACTCTGCCAGCTAGTTAGCATTAAGGGGGGGAGACTCTGCCACCTAGTTAGCATTAAAGGAGGGGAAATTACAGATTAGTTAGCACTAAAGGGGGGGTGTACATTGTTGGGTAGTTTCTGTTAAAGGGAGGGGATTCTGCAGCTAGTTAGTGTTAAAGGGAGGAAACTACGGGCTAGTTAGTGTTAAAGGGAGGGGACTCTGTGGAGTAGTTAGCGTTAAAGGGAGGGTACTCTGCGGGCTAGTTAGTGTTAAAGGGAGGAAACTGCGGGCTAGTTAGTGTTAAAGGGAGGAAACTGCGGGCTAGTTAGTGTTAAAGGGAGGAAACTGCGGGCTAGTTAAGCCCAATCCCAATTCTACCCCTTACCCCTACACTTTCCCCAACCCCTCCGTTTGGCGCGTTCACGTGTAGGGGTAGGGGTGTCTCAATTCTCTTTTGATTGGAGGGGTAGGGGCAGGGGCGGATTAAGGTGTACAGAGGCCCCTAGGCTACAGTAGTCTGTGGGCCCCCCAACCAAGCCCCGCTCCGCGCCAATGGGGGCCCCCTTGCAGGCTGGCACACGTGGGGCCCCTAGGCTTAAGCCATATCTAGCCTGTGCGTTAATCCGCCCCTGGGTAGGGGTAAGGGGAAGGGCTAGATAGCCCTCGAAACGAAGATTTTTCGGGACCTCACTTCAAACGAAGGGCTAAGAGAAATTTACAACATGGCTGCCCACTCGAGCAAGCAGACCCATAAATGTTAAGTAATTTTTGCCATTAATAAGGATTTTTATGACATTTTTTCATTACATGTATATTACCATCAATCTTGTGTTTGTGTTTACGGTGATGTTCTGTAAAGAAACGTTTGAAAAAAAATCGCTAAAGTTTGCTTGCGGATAGCACTGATTGCACAATATTAGGAAATATATTTTTATGTCATATAACGTTACCCGGTAACTGACTGCATGTGGTAACGCGTTGTTTTGTTTTGCTTACGGCCATATGTGTACATGTAAATGAACGGTGCTTACACTATTCGTACTTATTGCAACATGACAACATTTTTGTAAATTATATTCTGTATAGGGACAGCTGAGGAAACCCGAAGGCTCATACGTTTTCGAGGTGAAAACGAACATCTGTTTTTAAAGTCCAAATACGGCGCAAAAAAACTTTGGGAGTGAGTAATCTTTACATGCTACGATGCTGACGGCGACATCTTGGAATTTGTGATAAACATCGGCGCATGTCCTCTGACGTTACGTTAGGAGGTAGTGACAATGGATGATGACGTATAACAGTGTAGTAGTGCTGTCCCATTTCTTAGGGGAAATTTTTGAACCCTACCCCTTTCCACTTCATTTCAAGGGGCAAGGGGAAGGGGCGAGGGGTAGGCAAAGGGGTAGAAAATAGAATTGGGATTGGGCCTTAGTGTTAAAGGGAGGGGACTGCGGGCTAGTTAGTGTTAAAGGGAGGGGACTGTGGGCTAGTTAGCATTGAAGGGAGGGAACTCTGCAGGCTCTCAATGGTAAAGAATATGTGCCTCATTTATATTGCACGTATATTGCAATGGTATCGATTTCTCCTTTGTCGTGCAGTGTTGGGCCTCTGATTATACCCAACACGTCGCAAATTCATGCCATTGCAGGCTTCGACACTAATAATAATCACTCGTCTCGTCACCCTCCTACTCAAGAGATTGGATTAATGTGCTGTGGGAACACATTGCCAGAGCTGAAGGAGGTGTTTCTGGGATTGGAGATCCTCTCTGTGCTGTAGCATCCACATGGCGCTATTTCCCGCTAGGCTTGGGGAGCGTGACCCCACGCAGTCCCTGGCTGATGCACTACTCGTTCCCTCTATTCCCCATGCTAATGCCTTCGCCTTTTGAGGTTTGCCGCCCGGCTGGTTCGCCACTTTGCCTGCCCACCGTTTCAGAACGTAATTTGGTCCCATGAACGCATGGGTGTGTCCTTAAACATCAAAGGAAGTGTCTCTGCCGACTCCTGCGGCAGCCTGATGCACTGGATAATCTTGTTAGCGAATATAAATGTGACTTGCCTTATTTTCCATGGTTAACGCAAAATAAACCTAAGCTGCAATCAAATTATGCAGATCTGCAACACAGGAGTTGCTGGCAGCAAATTCAGATTAAGTTGTTTCGACGGCAAACCCCATTTTGGCAGCGAAGCAAGCAGCTCAGGACCCTGGAGAGGTGAGGCAGACAGATAATGTTGTTGAAGCCTGTGATGAGCTTCTCCTGACACTCATGGACTAGAGAACTTTCATTCCACACTTACATTGGTCTTGGTTTAATGGCGACTGTAAGTGAGACGACTGAATGTCAGCAAGCTGTGTCAGTGACCCACCTTCTTCGCTGTTAATGCCGGGTCCTGCTTTGCTCTATGCTCATTTGATTTCTCCATAAAAATGTGCCACAGAACACACAGCATAGCGTGATGCTATCAGACTGAAGTGACCTTAAGGTCATCACCTCTTGATGCACAGCCTGGGTCAGTGTGTCCGTTCCCCATGCACACTGGTGTGGTTTCTCGTGTTGAGCCATAACTGTGTGCATGCAGATGTGATTGACAAAGGAATATTTCACTCTGTGTGCCGGAAAGGTTTTTCCTAATGTTACGGTAGGCCAAAGTAGACCTTTGAGGAGGAGCGGAGAGCTGTGCGGGTTGGTGAGAGTCTCTGTCTTCATTTCTGCCACAGGACTTCCTGGGCCAGGCGTTCTGCACCCTCGGGGAGGTGGTGGGCTCTTTGGGGAGCCGCTTGGAAAAGCCTCTGGTGTAAGTAACTCCACGTTCTCTGCTCTGCTCTGTCCCGTCGCTCAAAGTTAAACACAGCATGACACATTTAACGGAAACCCGCTGGACTGGTTCTATAAACCTTCACAGTCCAGTACCTCCATGGTATCTCCCCTTATGTCCTGCTAATACTGTCCAGCTGACAGAAAGGCTGCGATCCCTGCGATCCCAAAATACAAGCATGTGCCATTCAGGAGCTGCCCGGTCCCAGAACGGCCAAGGGTGCAGTGAAAACCAGCCTGTGGGAGATACATGCTAGACTGCTGGGGTTTTCAGTATGTGGGGGTCAGAAGGTGCTGCTGCTGAGTAATTAGGAAACTGGTACTGGAGCAGATCTAGTGACCCCACCCCTCAGAGACTCAGCACATGTGCAGCTGTCTGTACTATTGGGGCGCATTTGGAGGGTTAGATTATTAGTGAGCTTAGGTGACCCCCCCCTCCCGAAATGACTGGAGTTATGATGATATTCTGTGGGTAGTACTTCAGCGATAGTGGGAAAGACAGGTCCATGTCGTTATAGTGTGGTCACTCTGTCTTCATGCCGTGGTCACGGTGTCCTCATGGTGTGTTCATAGTGTTGTCATGGTGTTGCCATGGTGTATCTCAGTGTCATCATGGTGCGGTCACAGTGTCATCATAGTGTGGTTACAGTGTCATCATGGTGTGGTCACAGTGATGTCACTTATGGTCACGATACGACCCAAAAGGCCAGGAGCCTGATGAACCTTTGTAAGGGGCAGCTTCTCTGTGTGGTGGGATCCCGGCACTATTCCTTAGCGATGTACCGGTCCTGTGTTGGGCACTGCGTACTGGGCACAGGGTGCCACCCCAATCGCGAAGCTGTTCATCAGCTCTCTTGCGGTACGCTGGTATGGGGTAAGGTGCCCCCTCCTCCATTCTCATACCTGGGTGCTTGTGTCGCTGCTTATCAGCCTGTATTAGCAGGCACTGCTCTCCTTCTGTGGGTGCATAGTGCTGCGCAGCCCAGTTAGTGCAGTGTGTTAGCTTTGAATTGGTTCAGCTAGACGTGCGTGAAAGTATGAGAGCAAGCACAGATACATCTGAGTCTCACATGAATATCCTGGAGCTGCATCAGCCCTCAACTCAGAGACCCCAGGATTCGTTCCGGCTTCCTGTGTGTTGTCTGCGTGATGTTTCCCTGTGAGTTGAAGTGATCTTCCTCTCTCATTATAGCACCACCGTGGTCGACATTCGTTAGGTTATCCTGAAGTCCTATATGTTGTGTATCAAGGCCTTCGATGACCTTGGCTGGCTTGGTTGTCATCACTGCCTTATGGGGCTTTAGAGGATGGAAATTACCCACAATGTGCAGATACTTTAGTGGTCCATAGAGAGAAATGAGATTTACGCGCCTTTTACGGGATAATTTGCAGTGTGAATTGTTGGGAGTGATTTTCCATGGAAATGGAAGAGAAAGTTGCAGGTCGCAGGTCTTATTTGAGCCAGAAATTACATGGGCAACATCATCGTCATTAAGTGCAGGTATACAGACCATGTGCCTCAACTACATCTGCGTTTCAGGCCCCTGTCGGGGTGCCGTGGGCCTGTACCAAAGCCCTCTGGCCTGCCACCACCTCTGCTGCTCCGTGTGGAACGTGCCCTGCTGACCCCGCAGTCCAGTGCATCTGCTCTGGAATCTGCCGCAGGAAACCATTAAACCATGCTGATGGGCAACAATTAGACTTAATTACACAAATCCATCATTTGCCCAAATTGGTGCTTCGGGGGTGTGCCGAACAGTCCCGTGTTTCCACGTCTTTGCAAAGCCTGGGCAGAGGTCACCAGCCACGCTGAAGAGGCTTTCTAGTGCTTAGCTTCTACAAGATCTCTGCTCCTTTGCACATGAATTGGTCAGTGTGTCTGAGACCATGTACTGATCAGGCAGCAGGAAGACAGGGCTGCAACAGACCACCCTGAGCTTTCATCTGCTCCTGTAATGCTTTCATTTTCTTCTTCATAAGTATGATGACATGGCTGAGGGAACTGATGATTCTGGTGCCGATGTAGTCTGGGTTTGTCAGACTGACCCATCTCTCTCAGCAGCGCTTATGCCTGGTCAGGGCACAGTGTCCACGTCGAGATCTGTGAGATGCTCTGTGAGATTTTTGGGAGATCTGCAAGGTATGTGTACCAACGGGTATTAGATCAGATATGACATATCTGTAGAAAGATATGCATGAAGCATATAAAAGAGAGATACTGCTTATTGTGCACGTATATGTGAGTAAGATTTTCAGTCAGTGACATTGTCAGCCAATTGATCAGTTAATTGTTTGATCAGTGGATCAATCAGTTATCACACAGAGTAGTGCATTTCTACCATCAGGTTTGTCAGTATTGGGGGGCGCAGACTTTACCGTTGATGTTGCGTTCCCAGTCGGCTCCCGCTGTGCCCGGGGGTGTAGCAGATTGCGCTCTTGCCTGTAAGGGTGTTTATTCAGATCCTGCGTATGCAGCTGCTGTCGTGCCCTTTAAGTGGTACTGTAGCTTGGAGAGCAACAGGTGTGACTTTGCTGGAGCTCCTGATTAGATGGAGCCAACTGTGGTTCCTGGTGTTGCTGACGCGCTGGCAGACTGATCCACAGACCTGTGGCTCCTCTGATTGACGAAGGAAGCGTGTGATGATGATGATCATGATGATGATATCACAAGGTCAGATGGTCACAGCTCCATGTAGAAGTCCAGCTGGAGCCTCCTTGACAGGGAGGAAGAGCGTGGAGCAGCCTGCAGAACGTAACCTGATCGTTTCACTCCGGTCTCTCTGCCTGTGCGATTTGTGAGCAGCTGGTGGTTTTTAATTACCGCACACTCATACCCTGATTACAAATCAGCGGCTCCTGATTGGAGGCCTCAGGGCCAGCCCACTTCTCCCCGACCGGCTGGCTGCGTGTTGTTGTCAGGACACGGCTGCTTATAGTACAACCACGCATGAGATTGCAGGATGGGAGGGGCCTCATCCACTGGAGAGTGGCCTCATGACCAAGAGCCTAGATACTACAGTGGAACACCATCTTGACTTGTGCCGGGCGTCTTCCTTTTGTTGGGTTTGCTTAACAGACTTCTGCATCAGCTCTTACTTAGAATAGCTGGTGTTGTGTGTGTACTTAGTGTAACTTACTTTTGAAGAGCGGATCCTTTATTTGTCTGGGTGCAGGTTTCTGTCAACAAACGGGGAGGTAAACTCCCTCGTGCTTGATGTGCGCATGGACCTGTTTCGATGTTTCTCCAGAATAAAAGAAGCCGTGCGGGCCTGTTTAGTAGGGATTCTGGCTTGTGCACTGGCACAGCGCAGCGTTTATTTATGTACTGGCGATGTGATGACACCGTCTTTGTGCGTAACGGTTCCCAAGCCAACAGCCAGCATCTTACTGGGACCTGGCCTCCTGCTCCCAGCATTCCCAGCTCCTGCTTCCCTCCAACGAACCGTGTACGTCACAGAGTGCATGGGCCTCCTCTTGCTTTCCGGGGGTGGGGGATGTGGTGGGTGATTTAAAAAAAAATTATCTGAAAAGCAGTCAGGTGATTTCATTAGGTGGCAATTTGAAATCTTTCCATTTACAGCTAATGGTACATTAATATAACAGCACACCACCCCCGAAACAGACATAGACTACCACCCCCCCATCCCCCGCCCCCACGAGCCCAACGGGGCAGCCGGGGCCATGAGCAGCTCTGCTCATCCTCAGCACGTACATGTTTCAGTAGTCGTGGCGACTGGATCCATCATTCCCGGGCGCCTCTGTTCGCGAAGAACCTGGCAGATGCCATTAAAATGCACAAATGACGCCACAGCGCCAGAGGATGGCATTTCTCCACTAGAGCTGTCAGTCAAGAGAACAGGATCGTCTCAGCCTGACTGGCAGTTACGGCACCCAAGTTAAATAACCCTTAATCATCCTGCAGTAGTGCCCCCCAGGCCAGACGCTGGGTCGCAGTGGATCTGAGTGATTTCAGCTGCCGTTTTTCCCCACATTGAAATGGCAGGATGTTTAAAAGCCTAATCGGTGGTCGCATCTATCAGCTTACATCAGAAAAATTCAGAGGTATCTCAGCATTCTGTGAAGGATGTTTTCGTTCTCTGCCTGCGATTAAACGGCTTATTGCAGGAGGGTGCTGCTGTCAAAGTTTTAAACAGACTGACGTCATATTGACAGCTGCGTGACATGCAGTCATTTTCATTTAGACTCTGTAATATGCCACTTGCCTGCCTTTCGTCCTTTTCCCAAAGCCGTATCCGGTTCAGGGCCACCTTAGCATTGGAGGCTGGGGTTCACCCTGGACTGGATGTCAGTCCTTCACACATCGTATAGGCACACATACACAGGATAGGAAATACCTTACTCTGCTTTTTCGGACTGTAAATGGGGGGTAAATCTGTGGGGGAGCTTGCAAGCTGCACACACAGAATACGGGCGGGATTCGAACCCTGTTCAATGACATGTGAGGCCTTGCCTAATGTAATTGTGAGACAGGTCACAGTCATGGGCTGCTATGCTCCTTTATGTGTCTTTCGCTTTGGGTCATCCATCACTTCCTAAGTCACATGGGTGGGGGGGGGATTTATGCTGAGAGTTTGTGAGAACCCACCCCCCATCAGATCAGTTTTCCCACCGGTCAGATGCAGCCCCTTCTCTTCCCAAGAGGGTAGAAAGAGAGTGAGATGGAGCTGATGACAGAGCTCCAGCTCTGTGGCGCCCCCTACAGCCAGTGATAATAATGCATGTCCCGGCCTCTTTCCAACAGGGGCATTCCCGGCAAGAAGTGTGGGACCATCATTGTGAGAGCAGAGGAGCTGAGCAATTGCCGGGTGAGTGAGCAGCACCTCCAGCAGTCCGTGCTGTGTGGCTCCGGGCGAGGTCACCTTTCCGGAAGGTCTCGCGTCTCTTTCTGGGCCACAGGGCAGCTTTACGCCACATGTATCGCTGCATTGTTACATATTTACTGTAAAGGCACTTCCTGCCTTCATTTTTCACTTCATAATAAATATAAATACCCACTGAACAAAGTAAGTTACTGTAATATCACTGACATCACTGTACATTAGTGTGTTCTTGGTCATTTTGCTTCCAAACAACAAATGATTAAATAAATAATGACCATTTAGCTGCGGGCCTGTTCTTCAATCTTCTTATCTGCTGTCCTCCATCTTCCTGTTCTCTGTTTTCCTGTGTCTTCCTGTCCCACTGTCCACTGTCCTCTGACCACTGTCCTGTCCCTTGTCATCCGGATTGCTGTCCTCTGTCCTCCTGTCCCGTGTCCTCACAGCCATGAGTTGTACTGCCTGAATGGAGTCTGGATGGAGTGTGAGCAGTGGGTGAAAATGTTGTTTACTGTAAGCAGAAGTCTCTGGAACTTGGCTGCCCATCTGAGCTGAAATAAGCTGGTATATTAAAGGATCCAATGAGGCCGAGTGAGAGTAGGGGCATGGTTTAGGTTTGGCTCGTCCCAGCATGAGAATGAGGCTTCCCCAGGATGGACCTGTTCTGCTGCTGCATTTATCAGAAAGATCCCCATCTGTTTAACCTTTCAGAGGAGTGAAATGCTCTGCCAGTGTCTTCTGTGAACTGGATGCTCTCTTCTGTCCAGTGGTGTGTGCAAGTGTTGAAATTAAGATATTTGTTTCTCTTAGGAGTCTGTAATGATGCAGTTATGTGGCAACAAACTGGACAAGAAAGACTTCTTCGGAAAATCCGACCCATTTCTGGTCTTCTACCGTAGCAATGAAGATGGAACGTGAGTAGATCAATGAGATGGACAGATGAGGGATGGATAGGTGGGTGAGGGAGATCTTTGTTTGTCCCTGTACTGCCAGAACTTGGAAACACTGCTTGTACACAGTATGGTAACAGCTCAGAGACAGAAACACTGCTCATACACAGTAAGATAACAGCTCAGAGCCAGAAACACTGCTCATACACAGTATGGTAACAGCTCAGAGACAGTAACACTGCTCATACACAGTATGGTAACAGCTCAGAGACAGAAACACTGCTCATACACAGTATGGTAACAGCTCAGAGCGAGAAACACTGCTCATACACAGTATGGTAACAGCTCAGAGACAGAAACACTGCTCATGCACAGTATGGTTACAGCTCAGAGCCAGAAACACTGCTTGTCCATATGCAGTAATGGATACAGATTGCTGTAGATTGGATATAGAAACCCCTTGTACGTTGTCCTGGAACAGTTTAGACACTGACATGTATGAAAAATTCTCTTTATTTTAACTTTTAAGACTTCCTGGCTGAAATGCAGTGAGCCCAGCAATCAGTGGATCCTCTGTAACAAAGTGCAGTGTGGCACTGACCCATTTTGGATAGTCTGAGGGGTTTCACGTGGATCTTCAAGGCAGCTTACACGCATACTTCATCTGAACCAATACGCTGATATAATCTAACGTTGATTTTCCACAAGCAGCTACGGGACCAGCCTATCTTCAGGCTGCTCTCCTGTAAACTTGGCACAGCATACAAATGCGAATGCTTCTCGGTTGCAGGTTTACGATCTGCCACAAGACAGAGGTGGTGAAGAACACCCTGAACCCTGTGTGGCAGGCCTTCAAGATCTCCGTCAGGGCCCTCTGCAATGGGGACTACGACAGGTGAGGGGGGTGGGGCTGGGCCACTCTTCTCCATTTAAAAAATCAGTCTTCTCCATATAGCAGATGATAAAAAATGGGTGTCATGGTGGCATTCGCTGTGTGTTTGCTGCGATGTCAGAGCATTCCTACAGCAGGTCGGTACCTAAGACAGTGCAGTTGGCTGGCTCAGGAGGACTAAATGGAATGTCAGGTACTGCTGGGCTGAGCCAGACCGGGCCGGGTGCTTCACCCACATGGTCTGGAGTGTATATTCACTGACGCTTCATGCAGTGCATCCCACTGCCTATGATTAACCACGAGCGGCGGCAGAAGACAGTGGCAGGATACGGTGGCAACACTCTCCATCCTTCTGTTTGGGCCACGGGAGACATAGCATTGACGCGAGGCTCCCGTCTCCATGGCGATCAGGCCCCACGCTGCTCATCTTCAAAGTGGGAGTCTCCGTCCATCTGGAGGAGCCGGTGCAACCTGCATTCCGCAGCCGAATCGTTTGCAGACAAAAAGCCGGATATCAACGGATTAGTGCGGGATTCCTCTTGGATGCCGTGTTTAATCGGTGCCTGGTTACGCCGGATCCCTTGATCCTCATGGAACGGGGTTTACCGGTCGGTCTCTGCACTGAATCGTGTTATTGTCTGACTCCAGGGGAAAGGTCAGAGCAGCATGGACACAGGCAGACTGACGGGTGCCATGATGTCACATTGGGGGGGGGGGGTAGCCTCCCAGCAGAGTATGTGCATGTTTGGGAACCTCAGGACGGCCGATGTGAAGCGGGTGATCATTGCTCAGGGGCAATTCTAGGATTTTTTTAAGATGGGGGATATAAGAGTTATCGTAATTCATACAGAGGGGTTAACTTCATCATTAACCAATAATATCAATCGAATTGGTGAGTGGCAGGGGAGGAACACTCTGGGGGCCAATCAGCTTTCAGCTGCGGTTGGCATTTCTGTGACGCCGGCCCTGTATGCTCACCTGTTATCAATACAAAGATAACATATACCGACATGCTCCTGTCGCACTCACCTGGCTTAATGCTGATTCAGTTCAGAAGGTCAGTGACATGTCTTCCCGCCTTCAGCACCATTAATGTCAGTCTTCAGTACAGTTGCACTCATCAGACTAGACCATGTGATCTGAGCTGCACACATTGCTGTCACAGGCCGTGTGGACTGCTGCAGATGATGCGGCCGCACATGGGTAATGAATGTCTACTGGGGAGCTACTCTGAAGTCAGCAGAAGACTGACTGGAGTCCACCTTAGGTCAAGCTGTTGTACCATTGTTCAAGGGCGCATACAGCAGAATGCCTACCTACTATCCCATGCAGCAGAGTGCCGGCCTGCTCATCACACGCAGCAGAGTGCCAGCCCACTAGTCGCATGCAGCATAGTACCGTCCCATTGATCACACGCAGCAGAGTGCCGGCCCGCTAGTCGCATGCAGCAGAGTTCCCTCCCGTTGATCACACGCAGCAGAGTGCCGGCCCGCTCATCACACACAGCAGAGTGCCATCCCACTAGTCGCATGCAGCAGAGTATCAACCCGCTCATCACACACAGCGGAGTGCCGGCCCACTAGTCGCATGCAGCATAGTACCGTCCCATTGATCACACGCAGCAGAGTGCCGGCCCGCTAGTCGCATGCAGCATAGTACCGTCCCGTTGATCACACGCAGCAGAGTGCCGGCCCGCTAGTCGCATGCAGCATAGTACCGTCCCGTTGATCACACGCAGCAGAGTGCCGGCCCGCTAGTCGCATGCAGCATAGTACCGTCCCGTTGATCACACGCAGCAGAGTGCCGGCCCGCTAGTCGCATGCAGCATAGTACTGGCCTGCTGAGACTCACTGTGACATCACTGTCCCTGCAGGACAATCAAGATTGAAGTCTATGACTGGGACCGAGATGGCAGGTGAGGTCTCCTCTTCCTCTGTGCCTTTTTCCTTGTGTCCCTTTCTTCCTTTCCCTGGACTATTTCCGGTCCTTTCCTGTTTTTCCTCCGGTCAGGTCTCTGCCCGGTTTCCTCTCTGGGTCATGACATATACAGCAATGGAGGGTGTGTGGGGAGCAGATCAGGGAGCTTGTGCACATGCATGTGTTTGTGTGCAGCACACCATGCTGACAGGCACACGTGGGTGTGTGTAATGCATCACGTTGACATGCTTTTTATGGTGACTTCCAGCCACGACTTCATCGGCGAGTTCACCACCAGCTACAGAGAGCTGTCCAGGGGCCAGTCTCAGTTCAACGTCTATGAGGTGAGATCCAGCTGAGGACTACCAAACTGCCACCTCAGCTCGAGGGTGCCCCCTACCTGCTGATGAATGGCATGGCTGTGTTGGGGACTTTGCTCTATCTGTTGAATGTAAGCAGGCAGTGATTAGCCGGGTGAGGTAACCCCTCCTTTCCCCCATTGGTAGTACTCAAGGATCGCACATGAACATTTAATGACAGAGGGCCAGCCTGACCCCCCCCCCCCCGAGAGAGCTGAACAAATGGTGGTTAATTAAGGCACACTATTTAGAGTGGAAATAACACAGGCGAGGAGTTATTTTAGGCAGGCTGTGTGTGTCTGATGACACCGTTACATCGCATGCAGTCATTAACTTTAAAACTGCCGCTTGGACGTAAGGATTTGCCATAAATTCTCATGTCGGGATCATGGCTAGTTTTTCGGCAGTCTAGCCCCACGGGGAGTGCGCCCTTAAGGACAGGCAGTGTGTCTGTCTGTGTCAGTATCTTCGTCTGAATCGCCAGCCACGATGGAGCCCATACCAAAAGCCGCTCCCCCTTTATAAACACATTACACTTTAGGGTTAGTTTTTTGATTGCATTCACAGATCTTTGTGGGGATAATCCCAACATGACGACCATAACCCCTACCCAGCCCTAACCTCATCCATAAGTAACCAAACAAAATACAAGACTTTTGGCATTTTTAGGTAAGTCACAAATATTTATAAAAATGAATTTCCCCATGCCAGGTCCCCATAACATCAAAATAACTGGTTTTTATCACATTGTAGGGATGTATAAAATATACATACCCCCTCTCCCCCCCCCCCCCCCCC